CCACTCATAATATAAGCAATGAAGCATGTGGGAAATGGAGAGATTCTTTTAAGATCATTTTATTTTTTATTTCTTGATTCAGCAAGTATTTACTGAGTGCCAACTAAATATCAGGCACACTCCTCAGAACAGAATATATATTGGTGACGAAAACCAGATCTGATCCTTCAAAGTGCGTACAGTCTAATGGGGGAGGCAGGTGATAAGCTAACTAATTACTCCAACTGTGGTAAGTGGTGCGAACTGGACAAAAAGTCTTAATCTGTAATAATTGTCTGCTTCACTGATTCAAATAGTTTCAAGTTTCAATTAAGTGGAGTTAATAGCTCTTTTTTTTTTTAAGTAATAAAGGATGTGGGAAAATTTGATTTAAACAAGGTGAATGGGTGGTATGCCTTAAATACTAAAAACCTGGCTAAGCACCACCTGGTGGCAGAGATTTTGAATTTCAGCTTGAATTTTTGTGGAATTTTATTTCCTAAAGATAAGTTTTGAAGATTAAATGTGCAAAAAAGAGACTTGTAAGTTATAAGACACTTTAATAAAATGACATCCAAATTAAAATTACCATAGTAAAACTGAACCAAAAGAACAAAATCTAGGGTGGGTGGATCAGTCGGTTGGGCATCTGTTTCAAGTTGGGCTCCCTGCTCAGTGGGAAACCTGCTTCTCCCTCTCCCTCTACCCCTCCCCGTTCCCCCTCCCCTGCTTGTGCTCTCTCTCACTCTCTCTCTTAAATAAATAAATACAATCTTAAAAAAAAAAGAATGCTTAAAAAAAAACCCAAAATCTATTCAGTTATTTTTGCATTGAATATACCTGCAAATAATTATGAGCCAATGAAGATAATAATAGGATGATACAATACTCTTCCAAATATTTATATGACAGAAGTGTAATTGAATATTAATACAAGAGCTGTAAGTTGATTATTAGTGTGCCAAGTATTTCACATCTATTATCCCATTTAACCTTGCCAAGAATTGTGTGAAGTACAGGACCACACCACAGAATTTCCCCAGTAGAAAATACCAAACTTAATAGACATATTTTTCTCAATTCAACATTTTTAAAAAGATTTTATTTAATTATTTGAGAGAGAGAGAGAGAGAGAGAGAGAGAACGAGCATGGGGGAGGGAGAAAGAGAGAAGGAGAAGCAAACTCCCCACCAAACAGAGGGCCAGATGGAGGGCTCTGTCCAGGACCATGGGATCATGACCTGAGCTGAAGGCAGATGCTTAACTGGCTGAGCCACCCAGGCACCCAATACAGCATTTTGGTGCCTTTGTCTATATTGGGGAAAATATATTTATGTCTCCAAAACTGTATAATTTTTTTAAACAAAATGAGGTATGGGAAAAATTTTGATTTACATTCAAAATAGACTTGATCTAAAGAACATCCAAAACACGTATGGACATGTTGAGAACCACACAGAATCTAACAATGAGGCTTCACACCTCAATTGTTGCTGCTGCTGAGAAAGGCGAGTTGTCCTGATGTGTCGCCACCACGCCACTAACATTTAGCTCTAGTTTTTGCTTTGTAATATTTGACAATGAGCTCCCTCCCAAAGCTGAAAAAGTGATGAGAAAACTATGGGAAAAGAAGTGAGTGATCAAAGTGCTTACAATGAGAGAGAAGACGCCACTAAAATATAAAGCAATGTTTTGTTAAGACTGTTTTGGTTATTATCAGAAAATAAACACTTGAAGCAATCTATAACCTAACATTTTTTGTTTCATGCTTACATATTAATTTTACTGTGTTTTCTTTAAATTTTAGGAAGTGTTTGTAGGTTTTATAATGCATTAAAAATTTTTTTCAATTAAAAATAATGGAAAATAGGCTCCCTGTTGGTTTTGGGGTGGAACCTGCTTTCCAAGAGTAGATTACTGATGTTAAGCAAGAGACACCTATTTAGTGTCAATATTATACCATTTTACAAAGAGACTAAGACATTTGTCCAAACTCCCTAGCTGGGAAGGGGTAGAGCCCTGGTGGCTGGTTCCAGGGGCTGTGTTCTATACCCTATTGATGCTGGTTCCACTGTGGCCCTGCTCCTGTCCCACGGATGGTGCATACTTCACATCAGCATTTCTCAAAACTCTTGGTCAATAGATTATTACGTTGGGATGTTACTAGATTAATATATCACCCAAAAGGGAGTTGTGTGGATAATTAGATCTGGGAAATGCTGCATTTAACAAAATAAAACATGTTACTCTACTATTCAGAACCAAATATGCAATGCAGTTCTCTAAGATTGGTTGCTGAAGAGGAAGTTAACATTTCCTAGACTTATTTGTTTGAAATTTGTGTAAAGAATGAGATTGCTAGCATAAAATATATAACATGTATAAATTATGTGTGTGCATATATATATGTATATATGCCTTGTAACATACTAATACTGACTTAAGCAAATGTGTGTTTGTCTTACATAACAAAAAGTCTGAGGCAGGGCAGTCCAGGGCCAGACTCATTTCTCTTTCCCATTCTGCTCTACTATCCATAAAAGTCATTCACACTCACAATTGTCTCCTCACAGATACTAGATTTTGCTGCACCTCCAAGCCTTACAGCTGATTTTCAGGGAAGAAGAAAGAGAACAGCCCCCAACACCCCCACTCATATTTCATTGACCAGAGGAGCACTCCTATTTGCAGGGAGCTTGAATTCAAGTTTTTACATTTAAGTCTCTGAATCAGTAAGTTACAATGTGGTGACAAACCACAAAGCTTGATTTCATGTTCACATGCCACATCATCAGCTGAGGGTTGGCTGCGGCTGTGCTCTTCGATTTGGGACCCAGACTGAGAGAGCAACTACATGCTTCCCATGGGAGAAGGATACAAAGGATGGCAGAACCATGGGACGGCTCTTAAAGACTGCTCAGAATGCTGTCACTTTCCCTCACACTGCATTGGCTAAAGCTGGTCATACACTAAGGCTGGCAGTAGGACAGAGAAATATAATCCTCCTACAAAAAACATCACAGATGGTTGGGCATGTATTATCCCATGCCCAGGAAAGATCAATATAATCTTTCTATATAATAAAAGCAGACAACTGAGAATAGACTAGAAATGGAAGTTGAGTCAGCCATCTATAGTGCCTGCCACAGTTCACACACACACACACACACACACACACACACTCACACACACCACCCACAACCTTTTTATTTATTTATGTTCCAGAGCATTTTACAAGACAAGTATTCATGTCCTTTGGGAACTGTGGCCTTGAGCCACATCATATCCCTTTAATAAAATAACTACCTATAAAAACATCCTGGTATAAAATACTTAGCCTCAAATGTGGGCTACAGTTCCATCCAGCATTATAATGGATTCCATTGCAATTGCACAGATAACAGTCTGTGTCACAGTTATTGGAAATTTCATGTACAGTAAAATTCCCTGTGGAAAAGACAGTCTCTTCAATAAATGGTGTTGGGAAAACTGGACAGCTACATGCTAAAGTGTGAAACTGGACCACTGTCTTATACCATATACAACTATAAATTCAAATTGGATTAAAGATTTGAATGTAAGATCTGAAGCCATAAAACTCCTAGAAGAAAACATAGGCAGTAAGCTCTTTGACATCAGTCTTAGCACTATTTTTTTTTTTTTGGACCAGTCTCCTCAGGCAAGGGCAACAAAAGTGAAAATAAACAAATGGGACTGCATTCAGCTAGAAAGCTTTTGCACAGCAAAGGAAACCATCAACAAAAAGGCCGCCTACTAAGTGGAAGAAGATATTTACAAATCATACATATGATAAGGGGTTAATATCTAAAATATATAAAGAACCCATGTAATTTAATATCAAAAAAAACAACCAGAGGACTTGAATGGACATTTTTCCAAAGAAGACATACAGATGACCAATAGGCACATGAAAAGATGCTTATCATCACTCATCATCAGGGAAATGCACATCAAAACCACAATGAGATACCACCTCACACCTGTCAGAATGGCTAGTATCAAAAAGACAGAGTAAGAAGGGTTGGTGAGGATGTGGAGAAAAGGGAGCCCTTGTACACTGTTGATGGGAGTGTAAACTGGCACAGGTACTACGGAAGACAGTATGGACATTCCTCAAAAAATTAAAAATAAAACTACCATTAATCCAGCAATTCCACTTCAGTTATCTGAAGAAAACAAAAACTCTAATTAAAAAAGATATGTGCAAAAAATAAAATAAAATAAAATAGATATGTGCACCCTGATGTTTATTGAAGCATTATTTAAAATAGTCAAGATATTAAAAAAAAATAAAATAAAATAAAATAAAATAGTCAAGATATGAAAGCAATCTGTGTCCATCAGTAGATGAGTGGATAAAGAAGATATGGGGTATACACATACACACACACACACAGAGAGAGAGAAATATACTCAGCCATCACAAAAAAATGAAATCTTTCCATTTGCAACAACATGGATGGATCTAGAGGGTATTATGCCAAGTGAGATAAGTCAGGCAGAGAAAGACAAATACTGTATGGTTCTGCTCATATGGGGAATCTAAAAACAAAACAAAACAACAAATGAAACAAAACGGAAACAGACTCAGAGATACAGGAAACAAACTATTGGCCCCCAGAAAAAGGAAAGGGTTGGGGAATGCAGATGAAATAGGTGAAGGGGATTAAGAGGTACAAACTTTCAGTTAGAAAATAATTATGTCACGGGGATGTGATGTACAGCCTAAGAAATACAGTTGATAATATTGTGATAACTATATGGTGACAGATGGCAACTAGACTTATTATGGGGATCATTTTGTGATGCATAAAAGTATCAGATTACTATGATGTATACCTGAAACTAATAGGATATTGATGCCAATTATACTTAAGTAAAAAAAAATCCTTTATTGTCAAGGTGATATAATGAACTATATTTATTTATAAGCCAGGAGAATTTCAGAAAATAGTCATGTCTAGTTATTAAAGATTTTTTTTCCTTTTCTTCTGAATCAGGTGCTGTCATACCATGCAACATGTTCAAAAGCTGAAGTTGACAAGTTTAAGGTAAGGAAGTAAGGGGTGCCCTGCTAGGACATACTGTTAAATTTCACATGGCTTTCTGACCCATTGTCACTTGCCTCTGTAGAATTATTCCTGCCCACTAGGTGTTAGGGGTAGAACTGGGCAAAGGTGTATTTGAATCTTTCAATCTTAGAGGGGAAAAGAGACTTAAAAATAACTGAGTAGCCCCGTTATGATCATTTAAATGATTCAGTATATGTATCTTTTCATTTGTTAGGTAAGTAGGATATTAGCAAAAAATCTGCACAATATTGTGAGAATCAGTTTGCATGGCTTTGGCATTTGTTTTTCCTCCAACTTTCTGTTCACGTAAAATCAGTATATTTTCATCTGTAAAAATAAGTGAATTAGGACAATAATAGCTAACATTTGCCAAATACTTACTATGGACCAGACACAAGGTAAAGCATTTTACCTATATAATCTGAATCTCATAATCCCGTGAAGTACCTACTGTTTTGCAGATGAGTCCGTTGAGACATGGAGATGTTAAGTTAGGCCAGCGTCAAATGATGGTAAGAGCCATAGCCAGGCAGTCTGGCCCCGGAACTGGAGTTCCTAACGACCGTGTTCGCTGAGGTTCAGTGGGACCATCTTCCAGCTCTGACATACGAGTCTATGAATGAGTCTTAGATATTTTTATCTTTTTTTAACGATTCTATTTTTAAGTAATCTCTACACCCAACATGGGGCTCAAACTCACAACCCTAAGATCAAGAGTCACACGTTTCACCAACTGAGTCAGCCAGGTGCCCCTAGATATTCTTTTTCACCTCAGTCACCACCGCTCTCTTAAAGGCAGCCCAGAATTCTTGTTCCTCTCCCTGTACTTCTAACCCATCATGGTCAAAATATGAGAGTGTGGGAGACCTGATTTTCCTCCCTTTTGAAAGCTTTGGCCTCTGCCTTTTTAAGTTTTTATGGAATCTCAGAATTATCAGGTTCACCACCACAACCCTAAGAAAGATAGTGTTTTGTATCATGATATTTCTAAGTAATAACACTTGGTGATGGCTCTTCTTCTAAGGGCTTTGTTTGCGTGCAGATGCGTTCATCTTCCCAGGAAGGGTGGCTCAGACCCCTTTGGATCTGATCACTGAATCACATCATTAGCTTTGAGTCATACTAATAAGGAAAGGAAATAAAGGAAGACTCCAAACTCAGAGTAGGGATAAAGGAACTGCTCAGAAGGGCAGGGAGCAGCACACTTAGTGAGGGCTGTGTGGGCTGTATCCAGGGATGTGGTTCCACTGGCTTGATGAGAGGCTTAGGAAAAGACCTGCAGTGGTGACCCATATCAGGAGGGACATGTTGCCAGTAAGATGTGGCAGCTAACAGCAGAAGAAGGAGTCAGAACAACCCAAACCGTGGCAGCCAGGAGCCCCGTGTTAGAGATACAAACCTCCTACATCCCAGCTAGAATGTGAATGCCATTGGGGCAGTGCTTTTGTATGTTTTGTTCCCTGCTCTATCTGTGCAGTTCTGGGAACATGGGAAGACAGTAAATATTTGTTGATTGGATGCATGAATGAATGAATCCAAAAAGTTCAGTGTTCAGAAATCCAAAACAACTATTCATTAAGAAAACATTAAAACTGTGGTTACATGTGATTAATTTTTAGATCCTCTATATGTTTTATAAATATGCCCATCAAAAATATGTAAAGCTCTTATACTTTAATAAAGTTTAGTTACCTAGAAATCTAATTTAGGGCAATATATTACCACAAATATTTTTCTGTTCTTACTGTTTTATACTTTTACTATAAGTATCATTATCATCGTTTCTAAAAGAAAGAAGGGACCAGCAGGGAGAAAGACAGCAAAGCTCACAGTGTGACAAATGTGACTGCAGGAGCTATTTGATGGGACACATGCAGACCCACAGCAGGCCAAAATCAATAGCTGTGTACCCTCTAAAGGTACTGCCCTTTATTCAGCCTTGATTCTTAATTCCTTAGAGTAAGGAAAACACCACTGTCTTGGAATATGCCATGCTTTTCTATTCTTACCTCACAAACATACTTACTAAAAATATGAAGTATTTAAATTTGAGAACAAAGGGTTATTTCGTCTTAAAATTATCAAGAGTATTAACGAATTTACTCCAGATTTTATCCTGAAAGATACTGGTAAGTATCTTATTATACTGTAATTGAGATATAGTAGATAATTTTAACCTAATGGCTTTTTTTCCTTGATATATAAAGTAAACAAAACATTCTCACAATTGGTAGCTGATGTCTTATAACTGCAGCAATAACATTAAAATGTAGTGAGCTTAAAATAATCCTGCACGTAGACACTGAAAAGTATTTACTGAAGTTTCACACTGGAGTATGTGCAATGGCAGTTTCCTAACATGGTAACTAAATAGTAAATAAATGCTTTGTTTTGACCCATATGTACAGATAAACCATGCTTACATTCAAATATATTGCAAACTTTGCCACTTACAATAATTTTTAACAGAGATAGTAAAGAAAACAGATATCAATAGAGATTTGAAATCTGGAACCAGAGTTATCCATAAAACTTTATCATTTAAGGATGGCTGAGTCAATGTATTGGATTATGTGCAGCTGGGATCAGTGATTCAGAGATTAAGTCAGACTTTAGAAGGAAATATCATCATCTAGTGCTGACAAGAATCTGGTGGTCAAATACATGCTTACACAGGCCAGACTCCAGTTGCAGCCCAAGCTGTACCACATCTGGGATTCAGATATGTTGAGAACACCAGTGAGAAGTCGTTGACACACAATTGAGTAGGAGACCTCCTAGTTAAGAACTCTTCCTAGTGGAAATTGAGGCCACAGGCCTCAGTGTCTAGATGATTCCAAGTTCAGCATGAGATTTGTCTCTTGGATTTTTCCCTTACCCCAGCCTCCTATGGATTGATGTTCTGAGCTAAAAATGTGAATGGACACAAAAGGTGTGGCCCTTAATACAGTTTGAGTGCAATAAATGACCCCAAGATCATGAGGGTTCCAGAGTACCAACAGAATGCAACAGAAAGAGGCAACCTAACAGAAGTAAGCTTCATATTGACCAGAGGGATGACACCTTCTATCAAAATGACCAGCAGAAGCTGAAGAAATAAATGCAGGCTGAGTGGTCACATGTTATGGACAAGTAAGGTATACCCTGAGAATTCTTGGAAATAAGTAGAGAGATGGAGATCCCACAGTATTGGAGAGTACAATACACACCATTAATTACTTTCAACTTACTACCACTTATACTTGTACTCTTGTACCATCAATGGGTTGATTTCAAGGAACACAGATTTGATAAACCTATAGTCAAGCTTTAAAAATCATTAATGGTAGGTTAATATCACTTTACCTTTTTTCATATCTTGTCTTCCTACTTCACACCTATCCATGTTTGGTGATTTCTTTTCCTATCATAGAATACCATAGGAGAGGGAAAAGATTTTTTATTTTTGTTTTGTTGTATTCTATTAACTCCTGTTGGGAAAAGTCTCCTTCACTGGTGTGTGGTGGTGGGTGGGCGAATGGTAGTCAGAATGTGGAAACCGTTCTTCTAGAAGTATTCCTGGATTATCTAGCCATTAAAACTGGATGAGACAGCAACATATAATTGTTCACCAAAGAATGTCAGAACCTAAGCTTATTTTTGTGGTCCTGATGTATGATTTATACCTTGGGAAATGGTCCTTTTTTGGAGGGCCACCTATCACAAAAAGATCATAGAACTTCCTGGAACTAATGAATTAACTTTTTTAAAAGTCTGGCTGGTTGAGGTTATAATGTTAATAATTTATCCTTTATGGGCTGCTTGCCCTGTGCATTGAATGAGGAAACCAGGATCTAAAGAGTGGTTTTTATCCTCATTAACATTTACTGATCTTCCTTGAACTTGAAATAAGAAAGGTGTGCCCAGAAAATTTGTGCAGATTTAATGCCTGTTTATATCTCTTCTGCTCTGCACTAACGGAAATAATGTATAAAGACCATATTGACAATTAGATCTCTTTGAAGATGACTGGTTTAAAGGCTTTTAATAACCTGAAGATGCCAGCTGTGATAACATAAGAAAATGAGTTTAGTACACCAATTATATGCTCCTGTAATTTTATGCACTTTCCTAAGATTCCAATGCAGTGGACAGACCAAACAGTTACCACTATATATGCCAGTTTACCAATTAAAATCAACTCATGGACGCTTTCATGTTATATTGCCACCTTTTATCATCCCTTCTTTCAATTCCAAACTGCATGGGTTATGGCTGCAATCAGAGATGAACTCGTTTACGGCACTATTTAACTGCCTCGGTAATTAAACACTGATAATTCATGTTGGGTGTTTAGGTTTGGACTACCTCTTGCGTATTTCAAGTTATCAATGTTAATGCCTAGACCACAAATTAACATCCTGGTAAAGTAAATAAAATAAAGTGCCAAGGAATAGGTACCCCCTGTGGCCTTTACATAGCAAAGTAAGAACGGCTACATCAAAAATAGGACCCTACAACCTCCTCTGTAAGCTGGAGGGCAGGGGACAGACTGGGCAATGAGATGTGATGTACTAGGCTTTTATTATTTTTTTTAAGTAATGAAGCTTGAGGAGACATCTTCGATCCATGAAATATTCAGATGTTATCATAAGCAGCTTATGTCCTCAGAACTGCCCTGCCAGCTGTCCGGGTAGATGTGTCTGTCATAGATCCTGCACAAGGGTCCCTGAGCAAGGAGGCAGGAGTTGGGACTCACTCCCACGTGGCTAGTCAAGTGATGGGATGCCTCTTAGTAACTGATCTCCCAGTGGGCGCACCTTTCTTCTAACCACACGAAGACAACGTGTGCTGGCCACTGCCCCACCAACTCTGTTTCCAAAGCTGTGGAAAAGTCCAATTCTTGCAGTGGCTTCTTGCAGAGGAAAGTGTCCTATGTAGACAGAGGGTAACACCATGGCACTTACCCAAACCCAAGGCATGAGACAACTGCCTTGGAG